ACAGCAATCATAGTAATGATATAATTCGTCAGTTAGTCAAACATATGTCAGTCATACAGGTGTCAGTCAGCCGTCAGTCAGTCAGTCGAAAACGTGTCAGGCAGACGGAAGCACTTCACACTCGTCCGATTGCTTGAACTCCTGACTTGGCTTCCGATTTCACAAAAGAGCGGAAGTACGACAAATATACGAATGAAAATAAATGATGTCACGTGTAACTGTAGTCCAGTTTGAAGCTGCCACGTGTAATATCACTTGATCTGTGATATTACTCTTTTTTATTCCATATTTGTCTCAATGAACTCTATGTTTGAGGAAGTCCTCCGTTCCAATTGTTTCCTTGCGGTTGGCCTGTGACGTCACTGGGTGTTTTGTGTAGAACCTATGGAGGAATCGTTTGTTTGATTTTTTTTTTTTATGTGTATTTTGATTATATGTTTCTTATTCGCCGTTCTCTCTCGGTCTATCTCTCTCTCTCTTTATCTATCTATCTATTTCTCTCTCTCTCTATCTATCTATCTATCTATCTCGGGCCACCCTCTTGCTCTTACTCTATCTATTTATCTCTCTCTCTATCTATTTAATATATGTATTTATCTCTCTCTCTCTCTCTCTCTCTCTCTCTCTCTCTCTCTCTCTCTCTCTCTCTCTCTCTCTCTCTCTCTCTTCTCTCTCTCTTCTATCTCTCTCTCTCTCTCCTCTCTCTCTCTCTCTCTCTCTTTCTATCTCTCTCTCTCTCTCTCTCTCTCTCTCTCTCTCTCTCTCTGTCTCTCTCTCTCTCTCTCTCTCTCTCTTCTCTCTCTCTCTCTCTCTCTCTCTCTCTCTCTCTTTCGGCCCACCCCCTCTCTCTTTGTCTTTTTCTCTCTTTTTGTGCCTATCTCTCTCTCTCTCTCTATTTATCCGTCTCTCTCTCTCTCTCTCTCTCTCCTCTCTCTCTCTCCTCTCTCTCTCTCTCTCTCTCTCTCTCTCTCTCTCTCTCTCTCTCTCTCTCTCTCGTCCCACCCCTTCTCTGTCTTTCTCTTTTTCTTTCTTATTTTTAGTCTCTTCGTTCCTGGCATCCGACATTTTGCTTCCCTCTCTTTTTTTTCTTTTTCTTTTCCTTTTTTCCTTCTCAACTTTTGTATAATACATAGTAATAATAAAAGTAATAACAGTAATGATAATGAGGATAAAGATGATGATCACGGTTATAATAATAATGACAATATGAATTGAATAGTAATAATATTAATAATAATCAATGATAATGGTATTAAGATGATGATGATAACAGTAATAACAATGATAATGATAGAATATAATGATAATGATAATCATAATTATAAAGATAATGATAAGGATGATAATGACAGTGATAATGATATAGTGATAATGATGATGATAATGATAGGAATTAATTAAAATGATAATAATGATATTTATGGTATTGTTAATAATAATGATAATGAAAATAATAATGATGTTCATAATGATAATAATAATGATGATAATGATAATACCCTGAAATAGAAGACTAGTAATGATGATGGTTGTAGTAAGATGATAATGAAAATAATAAATTTGATAAGGATGATAAAGATGACAGTAATAGTAGTGCTACTATTACTACTACTACTGTTACTATTCTTCCTCCTCCTCCTCTTACTACTACTACTACCACTAATGATAAATGATAATAATAGAAGAATCAAAAAGAGAACATTCCGAGCATTCCCTACACAACACGTCCTACCAGTACTGCATAAACTCGGCGGTTGAACAGGACCTAAACAAACAGTACCTTGTCTCGACTCTCCTCTCGTGGTTTGGGCATCACTGGTCGCGCCTTCTATTCGCCAGCCGTGCTTGAATTGATAACGGCGAATTCAACCGCTTGATTGTGTCTGGTTGGGATTTGCTTGGGTTGAGGGACGGGTGGAAGGTTGGTGTGGTGTGGGTGGGTGGGTGTGTAGGGGTTGTGGGTGTCGGTGGGTGGGTGTATGTGGGTGTGGGGTGTGGGGGGGGGGGTTGAGGGGTGTGGGTGTCGGTGGGTGGTGGGTGTGGGTCTGTGTGGGTGTGGAGGGGTATGGGTGTCGGTAGGTGGATGTGGAGGGGTGTGGGTGACGGTGGTGGGTGGGTGTGGATCTTTGTGGGTGTCGGTGGTGGTGTGGGTGTGTGTGTGTATTGAGCATTTTCCCAGTGATATTAGTTTGTGAATTCAGCGGGTTTGAGGGCATATTTAGTAGATTTAACATAGTTTTGATGTATCTGTTGGTTTATCTGTGTGTGTGTGTGAGAGAAGAGAGAGAAGCACAAATTTATAGAGAGAGAGAGCGAGAAAGAGAGAATATGTGTATGTGTGTGTATGTATGCAGGTGTGTGTGTTTGTGAATGTGTATACCTATTGCCAACCGCCTCTGATCTACGTTTCCGTCTCCCCCGCCACCCCCAGGGCCGGAGGAAGCAGCCGAATGTGGTGGGCTGTGTTCTGGTGTTCGTGGCGGCCGGTGTGGGCCTCGAGGCTGCACTTCATCACAATGCCTTACAAAGTCGTGTAAAGTATTTCCCGGTATTTCCTTTGTTTTTTCTGTTTATTTTCTTATATGAAGCTGTCCTTTCGGAAGTGAGAGAGATGAAGAAAAAGGGAAATAAAGAGGAAATAGGTTGATTATTCCACTTTTAACGACCTCCAGGTGGGACGAGGCGCACTTCGGCAAGATGGTCAGCTGGTATATCAACAGAACCTTCTTCTTCGACGTTCATCCTGTGGGAGGCAAGGTAGAGCCACATCCTTACGCAATGTGTTTATTAGTGTAAACAGATACATACGTACATGCATGCACACATACATATATACATACATACATATATATATACATATATATACATACATACATATGCATGTGTGTACGTGTGTGTGTGTGTGTGTAGTATATATATATATATATATTATATATATATATATAATATATATATATATATATATATATGTGTGTGTGTGTGTGTGTGTGTGTGTGTGTGTGTGTGGTGTGTGTGTGTGTGGTGTGTGTGTGTGTGTGTGTGTGGTGTGGTGTGGTGGTGTGGTGTGTGGTGTTTGTGGTGGTGTGTTGTGTGTGTGTGTGTGTGGTGTGTGTTTAATATATATATATATATAATATATATATATATATATTATATATACATGCACACACACATACACATACATACACATATACATACATACATAGACAGGGTGATAGACAGGTACAATACAGATGTGTGTGCAACAGGAACAACGAAGGGAAGGTCAAGAAAACACACGAATATGCCGAAGGCCTTTTAGCTATTGCTTCGTCAGGGCATACATGCCCTGACGAAGCAACAGCGAAATGGCCTTCGGCATATTCGTGTTCCTGTTGCAATCTGTTCATCATGAATTTCACACAGGTGTGTGTTGTGTGTGTGTGTGTGTGTGTGTGTGTGTGTGGTGTGGTGTGTGTGTGTGTGGTGTGTGTGTGTGTGTGTGTGTGTGTGTGTGTGTGTGTGAAGAGAATAGGGAGAAACAGACAGATAAACAAACAAACAGACAACCTTTCCCATAATTTTAAGTTTCAACGCATCCGCAAATCCGTACATCATCAAGCCGAGCCCTTCCTTCCTCCCCCGCAGCTCCTCCTGACGCTGTTCGGTTACCTGGGCGGCTACAACGGGACGCACTCCTTCGAGTCTCCTGACAAGCCCTACGACGGCTACGATGGGATCATGGCCATGCGAGTGGTGAGTTCGAGGGTGTGCCGGCGCTGTGCAGAAGCCGTTTTCTGTGATTGACTATGGTATCCTCTGTCTCTGTGTCCATCTCTCTCCCTCTCATCATAAACATACCTCGCAAATATGCATAGGTATGTAGGCAGTTACTCCTGCTGAGACTATAATGTCTCCTACTTTACTGTTGATGAATGGCGTATGTTAGGCATCATTCTCCTGAAATACAATCATTCCACTCAACAATTGACTCATCTCTTCTCCGGGATTATAATTATATATATCGCGCGCATATTTTTTGTGCGCTGTATTTGATTATGTAAGCCTAGGAGGGGACTTATCTGGATGAGGGTGGGAGTGTTATATCACCTTACCATATCGGCCAATAACTGAATTCTTGTAATGCTTGTAATTCTTTAAAATTTAAGTGTTGTATTTATTCTTAAATATTATTATACCTAAGCTTTGTATATGCATTGTAATCCCGCACAGGGACTTATTAAGTAAGGGTGAGGATAACCTAAGTTACCTCATCCTTTTGAGATGTAATTTACTTTTGTCTCAATAACGTGTCAAAGTCAAAGTCAAAAAAGTCTTCTCTCTCTCTCTCTCTCTCTCTCTCCTCTCTCTCTCTCTCTCTCTCTCTCTCTCTCTTCTCTCTCCTCTCTCTCTCTCTCTCTCTCTCTCTCTCTCTCTCTTCTCTCTCTCTCTCTCTCTCTCTCTCTCTCTCTCTCCTCTCTCTCTCTTCTCTCTCTCTCTCTCCTCTCTCTCTGTCGTCTGGTCTGTCTGGTCTGTCTTAATGACGCGTTTTTTTAAGAATAATACATGCGTTACTTGTACGCCAATGTATGAAGACACGTTCATTCTCTCTCTCTCCCTCGCAATGCTTGGCATGCCTTAGTTTATTAATGACAGAAAACTGAACATGTTCAGGGGTAAACTTGCTAAAGATTCCCCATTTTATAAGGGAGAAATGGAAATTTACAAGGGTAACTTAGGAAAAGGGCAAAAACTTGAAGTAAGTTGTGTACGAAAAGAAAGACGCTAGGTGTTTGAGAAAAGCCTACAGATTTATATATACATAAAAAAAACACAGATAAGAAAAGTTATTTAGGGTACGTTATAAAGTTGCCTTATCTATTCAATCTTACATACGTCTTAAAGATTTGTTGTTACATGCTGATTTAGCATATTGGACATTTGTAAACAGTATCTTTCCTGCATGTTTTAACCACCTGCAGTCGAATATACACAATTATCTGATTTTTAAGTGTTTTTAA